TCTACAGCTCGAAACATCAAAAGCCTTAAAACGGGGACAAATCATATTAACCTTTGTTCCAAATAATGAACTGGACACGGCTTTCTGGATGCAAATACGACGATAATTTTTAAACAGATAAATCAGTCACAAATGGCGCTTATGTGGAACACGAACTTCATAATTTCAGTACTCGAAAATCTACACCAGGCGGTATTTTATTTAATTAAATTAATATTTACAACGAAAAAAATTCACACGAGAAGGATATATAGACTTCTCCCTCTTACCAGTGGCCGACAAACTCGGGACTCGAAGGAGAACACGGCAACAGACATCTCAGGCGATCACCCGTGTGATTACGTAATCATTTTCCAACATTTCGGCGACTATCTCAACTGCCATCATCAGGGACAGCCCTATTAATCACATAGGTCCTAGATGATGGACGAAATTCCATTGACGATCGAGACTTCCTTGCAGTCTTGTCCCGATTATGACCTCTAATATAAACAGGCTTAAAGTTTTCTCCAGAAGGCGGGCGGTCTGAGGCGAACTTCGATTATTACAAGACCCACCCACCTTTAAAATCGCGGGGTTCCAAGCAGATGTGAATTATCGTCTTTCTTTCGTAGGCCCTGCGAAGAAATCCCACCATTTTGAAATGTTTGTTCATTGACATGAATGGGCTTATCGTAAGTCTACTTTTCCTTACAAAATGAGGAAAAGTTAATAATCGCTTGAAATAGAATAAAGGTTGGGGGGGGGGCATGAAAGGTAACGAAAACATAAGATCTGAGTTGTAACCTGTGGTGTGTGAGGAGCGAGTGGCTGGCGGTGGCTCGAGGCAGGACAAGTTCCGGGTATTAACTCTTCTTATAAGGCAGGATACTGGATCCACAAAGATCCGACCCGTCTACCACTGGTTGGCTTCAAGCTATAAAACGTTTAAGTTAGGTTTACCACACGATTATTATACACCATAAATTTTAAGCCTTAAGGCATCTTTGTAGAAGCTACACAGACGAGTTCCCACCAGGAGTTTTGCTTACAATTAAATTAATCTAAACGAAAAATTGCACGCCGATGACAAAATCCTTTTCTTTGTCTGTCGTGACGTATCTGAACAGTCCTGAGCAATATTAGACTCATTTCCAGTGTAGAAGATTAAGGCAACTCGTTCCTTCGGAACTTACACGAAACTTCAGAGTAAAAATTCCTTAAAATTGGAACCAGAATTAAACAAAAAAATCCTTTATCGGAAAAATGACTGCGCTCCAGAGAATAAAAATATAAAATCACCTTCAACAAACGCGAGATCTTTAACGTGTACACAGAAATACAAACACGAATTCAACAGAAAATAGGTTGACTGAACATCACATTATTGTTTCGTGGAATTTGTCTGAGAACAAATGTTTTCACTCAGTCTACCATGAAATTAAACTGGCTAATTAAAATGCATTTAAACGAAACGAAACGAAAATAAAAGTCCGACTCGAAAAATTCTGTCTGATGCATTTCCTATTCAGAACAGACCGATAAAGCGGATATACTTCGCTTTATTGGTATTTTAACTTAGTTTTTAGACAGTCTCACATCATTCTGAAGTTTAAAAAAATCCGAATGATCTTTGCTGATGATTTAACCTATTGCATGGAATCATAAATGTTTTCAAAACAACAATTTGTACCAGACAGCATTAACGAGAATGGTCTAGAACAGTTGTATTCAACTTGGGGTACGCGTACCCCCGGGGGTACGCTAAGACATCTTAGGGGATACATGAAATTTAAAAAAATATATTATTTTATGATAAACACTGAATAATCAGTAATGTAATTTATTTTATTTATTTTAGATGTAGATTATATACCATGTATAACTTGAATTATACACCAACAGCTTTGGGGGTACAAAGTTGAAGAGAAATTATATCTGGGGGTACGCGAAGACATCTTAGGGGGTACGTGAAATTTTAAAAAAAAAATTATGATAAACACTGAATAATAAGTACTGTAATTTATTTTAGATGTAGATTATATACTATGTATAACTTGAATTATATTGGGGGTACGCGAACAAAAAATGGTTGAATACCACTGGTCTAGAACAGGAGTTCTCAACCTTTTTCGCTAGCGTGCCACTAATAATAATGTAAATGTACCACTGACCAAATGCGTTCAGGGAAAACTTATTAATGTTAATGTTATCTTTTGAATTTCTTACTTAGTTCGAGTATCACTCAACATTGGCTCGCGTACCACCAGTGGCACACGTACCATAGGTTGATAAACGCAGGTCTAGAAATAAATGCAGAACAACTACAATCTGATTAATGGATTTGTTATTCCGTCTCCAACCAAAAACCTACAAAACTACGTTTCCGCGTATTGTTTTTAAAAAATATGAGACGAATAACACAATACGTTCCTCAAGAACGTCCGTAAGCAATACGAGACGTAGAAAAATGTAATTTGTACTTCTCACCAAATATTATTATAAGGTGATGGATTAATGTGGGAACAAGTTTCATGCATCACGTGCAATTTCGGTCAGAACTTAATTCAACAAACCATTTCAGAAATCTAGTCGTAAATGGAATAAAAATACTGGAACGGATATTTACAAAAATAGGGCGAAGCGACTTAAGTTTACGGTTCGGTGGATGAATTTTACTGACACAGTAACGATCATTCTAGGCGATCATAAGAGGGGAGAGATTCTTTACCAGCTGCGCGAATATCGATTTCGCAACAGAAACAGTCCTGTCGTAAATAAGTTTAGAATACTTTAACGTACACAGAACGAAGTAAAATTAGAGAGTGCAGGTCCCCACTTCTCTACAATAAGCTAATAGGTACACAGAGCAAAGATTTATAAGCTCCGGACCACAAATATATTATGTATGTTTTAAAAATTTTTTCTGCATCTTTCAACTACAGGGTGGGTGGAAAGTAAGTAGGCATTAATAATCGCTTTGCATTGGAAATATAAGAGGTTATAACCATTTCTCAATGCCTACTGATTTATTAGTCTTTAGTGTATTTACCAAGTGCCAACACCAGAGAGTGTTGGAATACTTGAACCTCGATGAATCGTTCCTAACCTAAAATAATTATATTATTGAGATTAGATTTATAATTAGTTGTGGTTCAATTAGCCATTTACATTCCTTGTGTGGCTTGTTCATTATCAATACATTATTATGGTAAAAGTTAAAGTTTGAACACTCAAATGGTGTTTTTTTTCATCACAGCTTACTGGAACCCATTTTTGGAAAACTAAGAGGGGAAAGTTTTGAAATATACATAACCATCATTAATTCAAACAGTGCATCACACAAGTTAACTTTTTCAGAATGAGATGGGGTGGGCATGTAGCGCGCATGGATGGTACAAGAGGCGTGCACCGGGGATTGGTTGGGAAGCCCGAGGGGAAGAGACCTCTGGGGCGACCTAGACGTAGATGGGAGGATAATCTCAGGCGGGATCTATGGGAGATAGGAGTCGAAGGAGACTGGATTTTGTTGGCCCAGGACAGGGTCCGGGGGAGGGCTTTGGTTAGTTCGGTGATGAACCTACGGGTTCAGTAAGCCATCTGGTTGGTTGGGTCCACTATTTGGGAAGCCTGAGGGGAAGAGACCTCTGGGGCGACCTAGACGTAGATGGGAGGATAATGTCACTCGGGAACTATGGGAAATAGGAGTTGAAGGAGACAGGGTCCGGAGGAGGGCTTTGGTTAGTTCGGTGATGAACCTACGGGTTCGGTAAGCCATCTAGTTAGTTAGTGTTTCTCTCATATACGATTCTGGCCATCATGCAGCCATTATGTGTAACTATGCCCTCTCTTGACAGATTTTGTTTCAATTCAGTTCTCTAATCGTCTCATATAACATGATGGCTGCTGAATTTAGAAACAATAGGCTCGGCTGTGAGTCTTCAGTTGAACTCGGTTCTGCTTTTAATTTGAGCTTTTGGGGCGGAGACTACTAGCCTGCTACTGCATGTGTCAGCTTAGCAGTTTGCTCCCAGAAATAACTTTGGCTCGCCTTGCTTTTAACTTCTCTAAAGATAGCTCTCGACGCAGAGGCCCTGGCACCACGCAACCTACCTGCTCTTCAAGTTTCTCGGGAGGTGCCCATCTACTCCTCAAGACACGTGAGAAAGTTTACTGCCCTAATCACAGAAATACACTGATAATGCTGTTAAATGCTGTATCGCGTGATCACTTGTCGTCTACCTGACCGTCGCCACAACGCACGTACTTAACAATATTCAGAAAACATTAAAGTTTAACTGAGAAAAGTTCGTCTTAATCTTATTAGGAATATTCAACCCTCCCACCCCATCACACTTATCTCAATTCTGATTAACTTCTGCGTCTATGAAATATTTATTTGTAAGTAAAGTTCACCATTAACGTAATCATCGTATTCGGGAGGACCCGGTTTCAAATCTCGGTCCGGATACCGCCCATCCTGACTCGTGTTTTCGTAATTTTCCTCAGTCCCTCCAGGGAAATGCTATTATAGTACCTTAAATGAGGCCACGACATCCTTTCCAATTCAAAAGCGTCGTTAAACTACAAATAAATATAATGATCGTAAGACGATTAACACAGAGGAGCATGATTTTGTATTCCGAGTGATATAAGCGCTCGGGAAAACGTTCGCAGAGCAAGGAATTTCATAATTTGTAACGTCACCCAGTTGGATTAGTGCTTGGACATTGTAATCAAGTGCATTGCGACTGGCTAGGCAAGAAGCTCGGATGGCTAAGGAACGCGTTCTCCGGTGTCGAAATTCTTGGATTGTGTCCACTTGGAAGCTCGCGAAGATGGGACGATGACATTATGATGAATCTCGTAAAAAAAAATATGATGACGTGGGACAAACTGGGTCAGAATCACATACAATGAATAGTAGGGGCTGGAATTAGGAATGTCGAAACGTCGGCTTATACCACTAGAGCTGTGTTCCGCGACCCGTGTGCCGCGAATTTTTGTAAGAACCTGAATGTATATTCACACTTCAGTCAGAAAAATACAGTATCTTACCCTTCGTAATTAGAATTCCTAATGACATTTGTATGATGATTCATATTTACGGCCGTGCGTTGTACTGAACCCCCTTTTCGTGTGGCGAAATTTTGGGGTGTGCCGTCCTGTGTCTTTGGCAAATTAGGGTTCGCCAAAAGTGAAAAAGGCTACGGAACACTGAACTAAAGAGTCCTTGGCATTTTATAAAGTTCGTTAAGTTAGTGTCACGTCGCCCATTAGCCCTGAAGTCGACTGGAGAGATGACTCTTCTACCTGGAGAAAATCTATGACCTTGGTA